CATTCATATTTACAATGCATGAAAATCTTTACTCACATGCACTCTGGTAAGCTGTCTCTAGGAGAAAATGAATAGTGGCACTGTCTTGTTATGTTCAATGTAGTAGTTATAGGTAAATCGAAACATCTTCCAAACATGACTAAATATTGTAGTGAAGATGCATAGTGAATTCTCTCTACATTTTGTCTATGTCAAGCTTGATAGAATAACATTGTCCTTCAAAGAGAGTCACAGCTGCAAAACTAATAACAGAAATAACTAAGTACAAGACCCACATGAACAATAGAGAATAAATTCTGATATGGAAGTTTCTTTCAAATTGTGTATTTGCTTCTCTACCTCTTGTATTTGGAAACACCAATACATAAACTGCCTTAAGTGCATAATCACAAGAAAGTGGAAACATCCAGTGCTTCATCACCCTCATTATAAAGAATTTCTTCCTTACATCTAATCAAAATCTACTCTCAATTATTAATAAAAATAGTATATCTTAAAACAAAACAAAAGTTGTTAGGATGAAAGACATTTTTCATTTGCTCACAAGATTGGCAATGTATCAGGGTTCTTACATTCACAGGCCATGTGTGGTTAGTTTTCTTGTTTATCTTATGTACAGAAAAGCTAATATAATACATCAATTGATTTATTAGCCTGTGGTTTCTCTAACACGGGACTGCCCTTCACATTCATGGAGAACCTGGGACCATTGTATGGAATAAAGCCAAACCATGCCATTTGCACCATACGTGGCTTTCAGGGAGTTCAGATAGTGCTCCCATTCTAGATTTGCCTTACGTGATCAAGTCTATGCTGATAATGAGGCTGCTGCAATGTGAATAGGACCTAATAGCACTTGAACATTCTACAGATGACTTGGCTCAGGTATCTTAGTACAACTGCACATCCAGTACAGGTATCCTTTCTGAATTATGAGCAGCGCTACACTCCTGGATCCCTAAAGTATGTGGTTTCTTTCTTGTGGCTTGTAACTCTATGCCATCCGCTTGCAAAACAACCATGCATAAACTTCTGGTAGGAATCTCTATCACAATGGTTACTAATGATAGTGCTCACCACTCAACATCTGAAAAAAAAAAAAAAGTTTTCTGCACTCCAGCACTTCAGCATCTTGTTGCTTTAAAGATTTCTTCAGACAAAAGTAAGTAGATGGGAAGAGAGAACATGGTACATGCAATTAAGACAACTAATGTCTAAGTTATTGTCTATGGTAATATAACCCTATATGGAAGTGTTACAGTTTTTTAACAGTAGAATAGGTGTTGAAGCAAAGAATGCAATTACAAAAGTTATCACTCCTGTATGCAGGAATACATAATGTACCACTCACTGCAGTTCAGATACATACTTCAATTAATATTACTAATACCCTCCTTCTATCCTTTTCTGACTTTAAAAGCTATTCCATTGTGTTTAATTGCAAATATTTATTCCTTAAGATGAAGTATTTATAACGAAGAAATATCTTTTATAAATATTGAATTTTATTTGAAAATACAGCACATTTTACTTCTAATTGTTTTACAGTTCAAACTGTAAGGTGCGTTCTTTTTTTGTTCAAGAATTTTAAAAGCAACTAATTTAAATATGCAAAATTATCTTGAGTTGTTCATACGTGAACTTAAAAGCCATGCAACACAGGAAAATTAAGTAATTATGCCTCCAAGTTATTTACTGCAATTAAGCTCATTTATCATATGCAAATTAGTGCAAACTGGTCTCATTAGTTACTAAATTACTCAATATGAGCTGAACAATGTAGCACTCCAGTTTGTAATGAAAAATCCCTGTAGAGGCAAGCAGTATCAATTAAGCTAATTTGCATATGCAAATATATTCACTAACTTTCCCTTTTCTCTATATTTAGTTCTACATTTCCTGATCATTCCTGATTATGTGAAGAATATGGGGTTATTGACCCTTTTCCACACCTTTTCAGTAGCAATGAAGTTACAGAAAAAATTCAGGGGCCTTATATAAACCAATAATTTTCATTTTTACAACCAGTTTCAACCACATTTTTGAATAGCAGGGGGAGGAAGTAATACTTTTTTACTACATTTATTTAATAAATGCTGACACATACGTAAAAATGTAAAACCGAAAATGTATCAAAGTCTATTTTCACTATAACACCACTATTCTGAAGAAGATAAACACAGGCTAACCAAAGCATGCAATCTGACAAACCAAAAATTTTACCAAAAAATAATTAACATATTGCCATTACCTTCCCCCTTTTTCCCCCCCTATCACAAACATTTCTCTTTTTTCTATTCAGGTGATTTTGCTTGGAAATGCTTAAAAAGTATTCTGCCCTGACTTTGAAGATACTTGTATGACAACATGTAGGTATTCATGTTTTGGGTTGTTGTTTTTTTTCTGTAAACACACGGTGGATAGTTTCCTTGTCTGTAAACCTACCACAGGAATCTGTTCAGTATGACATATAATTGTAATTGGCTATGGCTAGGAATTTTCTGACACAGCTGAGACTTCTTGCTTGTAGAAGTCAGATGTAAAATATTACAAGATGCACCACCATTTCTATTTTAAAATCATCATAAATAAATTACATCCACCTTTATAAGCATGCTTCTCATGTTTGTCAATAAATTTTGAAGTATCAAAATATTAGGAGGATTAGAGAGGCTCCTTAATTTCTCAGCTTACACTTAACCCAGTCTTCAAAATATTAATAGCAAAAGGGATTAAACAAACTATAGGTTCAACTGCCTCAGATAGCAGACTCCAAAAAAAACAGAGGTAGTCACAAGGTATAATTATTCTACAAGGCTGTTTACTTCACTTGCAAACAATACATATCATAATGCTGCTCTGCGAATCGTTTCTATAAGCAGCAAATTAAACAAGAACTTGTTAGAATAGCACTCCATTGCAGAGACCATCTAGTTGTTGTTATTTTATCTTCTATCTTCCTGAGATTATTTTTCTACCTGTAATGCCTCAAGGCAGTTATTCAAAGTTCAGATCCTTTTAAATTGCTGCATTTGAACACAAGACCTAAATTTTCCTTCAAAGTGCTGACTACTCTACTACATAAGAGAAGATTTTGACACACCATGATAAACTTGTGATATTATTAATTCATTTTGTCCTGTATCCATCACCAACAGTCTATTATCTTTTAAATGTCAGAGTGTAAGTTTCTATTATCAATTGGGAGATTAATGGGAGTAATTTGATAAAAGGCACCACCCTCTCTGCAAAGGCAACACCTCAACAGATATTCAGTAAGATGTTGATGGCAATTTTGAATTCTTGAAATATTGAAAATTCTCAGTCTATTTGTTACAGATAAAAGTGCAACATAGATTACTTACAAGCACTATGATAAAGTTATATCCAAAAAACGCCCTAATTTATTAGGTATAAGTAGAAAAAAATAAAAACAATAGTGGAATATTTTTTAAACAAGTTTAAACAAGTAATAAAAACACTAAATATTCTTAAATACACAATCAGTGAAAAATTGAAATGTCCAGTAGGTTTCAAGGTGGACAACTTAGTTTTTTTCTTATAACTGAATTATTCATACAGTGTCAAACCTAGTAACTAACAAGTATAAATAAATCAGTCCCAATGAGAGTTTATCTAGATACTTGTTATAATTTATATTGTAATAAGCATACACCTAGAATATATAGTGCATGTCCACATACTCAAAACACAAATGACACAAATTGGAATATCATGAAACCCACATTTATTTATTCTTTTTTTTTCTACATTTACAAGACAACATAACAGCACTTCTGTCTAATATTCAAACAGTGCTGCAGATACTGGTGCATACCTTTGGTACCATATCTATAATACAAATATTTGTTACAGAATCAAAAACTTGAACTATGTCTCTGCCAAGAATGTACAAGTAAGTAAATAACTTCATTCATGATTTTTGCTCCAAAGATAAATTCATTCTAGTGGTTAATTTCATGTTTTCCTAAAATTATCTTTGTTGCCATTCAGCATTTAGTTACTTTAAAAAGATGTAAAAATTCTGACATATTCTGCAGTGCTTTTGAATGCCACAGCTGAAGTAACACAGAGAGAGATAGCTCTCAATCATTTCAAATTAAGTGGAATATTTCTCATGATAATATCCTAATTTACCTCTCAAAAGATAATACACCAAGCAATATATTTGCATAGAGAAGCTGTGTACATTCCTAAATAAGTGCAGTTATTCAATGCTGTAGTTAGAAAAGGCTACATCTAAAGGGTGTTTTTTTAATTTCTATGGTGCTGTGTTTTTGCCTTGCTGACAGAACACTTCACATTCTTAACTGCTTCTGCTCCACTTTTGATTATTGCAAAGTAAGAAGGGTTGTACTAATCCTGACAAAACAAAACATGCACAAGAACATCTCCATCAGGTTACTGGTGGTTTTTTTTTTTTTTTTTTTTTTTTCAGAGTAATCCTCCTGGAATATAGTTACTTGAACAGTGTGACTAAATTCTTTGACAAATATCTCATTAGTTTTTATCTCATAGCTAAGGAAACCAAAGAGGCATGCTGCTGTTCATTTTTTCTCTTTACAGATTGCTGCAGATTTGTGATATATAATCATGACAAATGTGATATCAAAGAGGAAAGCAGTGCTCATAAAACAAAGTGGGGGAAAAACACCCTAAATTTGTACATGACACACAAGGAAAATGAAATAAACAACAAAAAATACTGTTTTATGCACACACACAAAAACATAAAGTCATTCTGCAAGCAGACATGTACTGCACAGTTGAAAATAACATAACATTTATCTACACAATACATGCCCTCCCTCTCCTTAAAACTGTCCCAAGCATGGGCTTTTCTAAAAAGAAAGAAATATGACTTTTTATAAATATTGACACCAACAGTTTTCAAATTATGGGCAGAAATAGGATTGACTAGCTATTTTGACTTTGTCATGGAAAAGCCTTTTTTTTGTTGTTTTTTTTTTTTTTTTTACCTGTAAAATATGACTTCCCAAATGAGATTCAAATACTTCAATGGCAAGGGCACTGGGACTTCTCCTGCGTTGGGCACCTATAACTGAATAAAAAACAGTTATGTTGCAAGGTCTGCAAATTCATTTGTAATCCCTGATCACAATATTTCACATTATTGAAATATGTTCTGCATTTTAAATACCAGTGTTAATTTAAAATTTATCTTGCACACAGTAAGTATAACTAGTACATAATTTTCAGTGACTCAGATTTTGAGGATAAAAGGATTCTTTTTGAAAACAAAGAAGGAAAGAAAAAAAAAACATGAAATAAACACCTATTCAAATGTACAAGAACTCTGAAAATGAATAGTTTACTCAAATAGCCCCTGTGGAAGGTTTCTTGTACATATGCTATGACAGCACACAGAAATTACTGAAAAATACTACTGAAAAAAATGCTAACTGTAAATGTAACGAGAATTAAATATTACTTAGGAGTTAAGAAGATACGAGAGAGATTTATCTGAAATGAAGTAAACACCATGTTAAAAAGTCAACACTTGGTAACAGCTGTCTTATCATCACATCCGAGTTGTCAAGCATTCTCCAAAGTACAGGTATGGTATTATTTACAACAAGTACTGTAGTGTTCCAGATATCCATGTTAACTGCTAGAAAAGATACTTGAAACTAGTTTCTACTCTAAAAGATAGAGTGATAGATGGTTGTGTTTTAAAGGCACACATAACTACACAAGCTGGGAAATCATAAAACTAATCTTTTGTGAAACTCTTCATGCCAGTAGCATAAAGCCAGAAATCAATTCTGAGTAGAGGCAAGAATAAGCATCTACTACTGCAAACTGAGGTTTCTTCTTAGTTCCAATCTATATTTGTCACTTGAGCAGAGAAGAGGACAAAGGGCTGCAGGAAGTTTCCCTTCTTTTTCTGTCTTTGTGACAAAGTCAGGCATATCCATAACAAACAGAAGAGGTCACGTTTTGAAGCGTGTAAAACATTTACATCCAAAAACACTGATGGTCTAAGCCTCTGCAACCTCTTTACAACACACGCTAAGAAAAAGAAAATGCCAAGGGATTCACTAAAACAAGCAGAATGGATAAATGCTGTTACTGAAGACCTAAGCTAACATTCCTGAAAACAAAATTCCTGAAAACAAAAAGTAACATTTTTTTTAGCTCTCTATGATACTGTCTGCCAAATGTTATCAGTAAGATATATGCCAAGTAATGGTAGTCATATTGACCTAAGAATGTAATATCTTTCCTTATTGATGCTTCGTGTAATTTCCTTGCAGGAAATTCTAAGCTATTTATACTGAGCAAACAGGTGGCTTCATCGCTAACAGATTCAGGCAATAGCTCATAATTACAAATGGTGACTGCTGTAGACCCAGTATTTTTTTAAAATCCTTTTCTCAGGACATATTCAAGGATACTGATGGTAGCAACATATGAAAATAAGCTTTCTTCAAAACTTCTGCTTTGCAGCGCAACTGAAGTTGGTAATACACTTATATGTTGCAGCGATTTTTCAGCTTTAGTCAGTATAGTCGCTGACCAGACACATCAGCATAATATTCTTCTTTTTCTAGTTTTAAGTATTCACTTATTCACTCCTATATTTTTCCATATGTATCTTCTGATCCTAAATAATTTTGCTTGTTTTCACACTGTCTCATCTTTTCCATAGTTGTAATGGCGCCTGCTTTTTACTGTAATGCCTGTTTCATGAAAAATAGAGCACATCAAATTTTCTAGCAACTAAGGCTTTTAAAAAATTATTTTTGCAGACACAGACTTAAAGATGAGCCTTCTTACCTCCTTAATAAGCCTCCAGACATATTATCAAAGGCTTGCATGCACAGGAGTTGTAACTCTTATTTCTAACAGAAACTTTAGGTTTAGTTACGGGACTAAACAAAATATATGGCATTGTAAAGATTATCAGTGTCCCCATTGTTATGAACTGGCTCTGCAAGCTTTTTATTTAATGTAATTTCATTTATAATCAGCTGATAACAAAAAAGAAATTCTCAGTTCTGGACTGTCAGGCATTGCTTCACAGTAGTCTCCATAGGAGCATTACAATAAGCAAAAACAACCTCTGAAAGAACAGCTAACTGTGCTCAAATCCTTTAGGTCTTTTCATTCTTCCATCTAGACTGTGTTATGGTTTCCACACATTTTCTGAACACATCTCCACTTGCAATTTGTCTCCCATTTCATTTTCTGTTTCCTGCACTATATCACTCCTTTACAATCCACTGCCTTTTAAAGTGTATCCATTACATACAGAATATTGCTTCCAGTTCTATGTTAATTGCATTTTTTTGCATGAGAGTATAATAACTTGAATAAAAAGCATGAAGACTGTATAACACATTAAAACAGTATCTTAACTTTGAATTATATTTGCAAGTAAGTTGTCTGTTCCTTGTACTTGGGATGCTCTGAGTTCTACAGCTCAAATAAAACCACTTCAAGGTCAGTGAGTTAAATAGTAAGCACAAGAGGGCTGGATCTCAGCTTTAACATTTGTCAGTTAAATCCTCTATTGATGTCTGTATCCTAGTAGCTGGTATACATGTACACAAATATCTTTCAATACTTTCAAGCCATTCAGATCATTGACATTTTTATAGCAGTAGAACCTCTTGATTTACGTGTCTTGCACTTGCTCAGGCTTTGTGGGGTTATAATGACAGTTCCTAATTTTACAGCCAGCATAAATACATTAAGCAGAAAACCATTATGCTTCTGGTAGCCATACTGCAATTCTTTTTTTGGAAACCAAATAGATGTTAAATATGCACTTCATGTATTGCATTCATTTCCTAACTATCATCCTTCATATTTTGAGGACTGAGACAAGAATACTGAGATAAATCTAGAATAAATAAAAAAAAAACGTATTTTCTTTCATTGTTTGACTTCATTGCCTATTTTTTTTTTTTTTTACTTATTTAAGCTTCAAAGATTTCTTGATATATATCTGTATCAGAAAAAATACCACTTTGAGTATACAAGTGCATGTTGCGTTGATGGGTTTCAAAAATAGGTCAATCTCACAGACCAATCACAGCACAAGGCCTCTTATTTGTACTGAATAGATCGTTGACACAGCAGTAGATAAAAGGAAGACATGGACTGAAATGGTTGGATTAAAAAAACAGGCCAGAATTTTACTTTCCTATAAAATTTCAAAATAAACACTAAACTGGCTTCCATTGTATAAGCCACAGCCAGTCATCTCTAAATCTCTCACCCTTTGAATGGAACCATCAGCAGCCACAGTTTAGCTGCTCACAGAAAAGTTGGAAAGCAATGGATTCGGAGTTTATATCAGAACATCTATGGCCTTCTATGATGGAGTGATGACACTAGTGGACAAAGGAGAAGCAATGATGTCTACCTGGACTTGTGCAAGGCCTTTGACATGTTTTCGCACCATATTCTTATCTCTAAATTGAAGAAATACAGATTTGAAGGCTAGGCTGTTCAGTGGATAAAGAGTTGGTTGAATGGTCAGAGCCAGAGGGCTTCAGTCAATGGATCTGTGTCCAAGTAGAAGCCAGTCCTAAGTGATGTCTATTTTGGGACCAGTGTTGTTCAACATCTTTATCAATGACACAGGCAGTACTCTCAGAGAGCTTGCTGATAACATCAAGCTGGCTGGTGCAGTTGATATGAAATGAGGAAGGGATGTCAACCAGAGGGAACTGGACTGGCAATCCTTCCAAGTTTCTCTTATTTTGGTAATACAAACAAAATAGGCTTTTTCAGGTGGACATACTTTCTGCCGTCTATATTCCATCATATTTAAGTGATAATGGCTTGAATGTACAATTGTTGGGGTTGAACAAATAGTTGGCTGAAGCAATATTGCCATCAAGTATTGACTACTAATAATTACATGAAAATAGAAATAAGGTTGTCAAAATGCAATTTGTTGTGCTGGAGCAGAGGAACATTCGTTGAAATCTTTTCCTTTCCATAGCGTTGGAACAAAACTTTTACTATCGAAATTGACACAACTAACATGCCTATTGCTGGCAAAGGATTATTCTTTAACAAGCTATAAATAAGAAAAAAGAAGAACATGGATTGCCTAACAAAGATTTCTATGTATCCCAATGCGAGAGGATTTCCTCTTAATCTCAGTTCTAAGCCACTAGTACACAGAATGAACTGACTGGTGTCCACTATGACCTCCTCCTAGTGAATCACAGAATCACAGAATTGCTTGGGTTGAAAAGGACCTCAAGGATAATCAAGCCCGTACCCCCTGCCGCAGCAGGCCCACCAACCTCCATATCTCATACTTGACCAGGCTGACCATGACTTGAACACCTCCAGGGACAGGGCATCCACAACCTCTTAGGGCAGCCTATTCCAGCACCTCATCACTCTCTTGGTAAAGATCTTCCCTCTGATATCCAACCTAAATCTTCCCTCCTTCAATTTAAAACCATTTTCCTTTGTCCTGCCAGTATCTACCCTTGTAAAGAATCGACTCCCCACCTGTTTATAGGCTCCCTTTAGGTACTGGAAGGCTGCAATGAAGTCACCCTGCAGCCTTCTTTCTCCAGGTTGAACAAGCCCGGCTCCCCTAGCCTGTGTTTGGAGGGGAGGTGCTCCAGCTGATTATCTTCGTTGCCCTCTTCCGGACCTCTCCAACACCTCTCTGTCTTTCCAGTACTGGAAGCCCCACACCTGGACAGTACTCCAGATGGGACTTCAGGAGGGTAGAGTAGAGAGGAACAAATATCGCCTTGTCCCTGCTGGCCATCCCTGTTCTGATGGAGCCCAGGATACCACTTACATTCTGAGCTGCAAGAGCATGCTGTTGGCTCATGTTCGGTTTTTCATCCACCAGGAACTGCACTGAACCAAATCACTGCCAGTATGTCAGACCTTAGTAAAGCTGAAAGTTCATAAATATCCCATTAAAAAGGTATATTATGATCTATTCACAAAATATGTAAGCATGTCAGGCAAACTCCATATCTTCACATAGGACTGTCTAATATTTCTCCCTATAGGTATCAAAAAAATACATGATAATTTCACATATGACTG